TTGTTGGATTGAGTATACCTAATACTTTTAACAACTTCCCTGATCTAACACTTCATTCAGCCAACCTCTATTATGTACCTGCCATGTGCCACAGTCAGTGTTGGGTACTGAGACCACAACAATCATTAAGATCGTTTCTTTCCTCAAATAGCACCAGTCTTATGGAGGTACTGTATTAAACAAATAATTGAGAAACAGCATTACAGAGGGTTTTGATAGGGAGTAGAAGTCCAAGGAGTGGCTAGCACTAATCAAGCATGGACTCTTTCTGGAACTTCTAAGAGCTTTATATATATTAACTTGTCTAATTTTTCTAAGTTCTACAAGTAGGTGCCATCTTTCTCCCCACATGATAGATGAGCCATATCTGTGTTCCACATCCTTTTCAAAACTTTCTAATAAAGTTGTTCCAAACACTTAAAGTTTAAGAGTGGGCAGAGTATCATTTTGCTTTCAAGCTGTACACAAGGCAACTTCCCTACCCAACCTTCTGCCACACCACGGGAAATTCACTGCTCTCCTGCGTTCTCCCCAAGACTCCACCAAGTGGAAAACAGGCATTCTGCCAGCAGGTAGGGACTCTAGGGAGACTTTTGCCTTAAGTGCCTTGCGCGGTAGACAGTTTGAGGGTGGATGAAGAGTTTCAGAATTTTTCTGAGCAGATATAATCAGGAATACAACTAGCATAGTGTAGGAACAGAGTGGAAAGGCCCAGAATATACGGGAATGATTTAATGAAAGCTGTTGTGTTCAATGGAGAGATAATAAAATCATCTAGAATATTCATGCGTAGAAATTCATGTGCAGGCTGGGTGCACCATGGGTGCCAGGGCGGCGACGAGAAAGCACCTGCTTCCAGAGGCTGGGACGCTTCAGGAAGATGTAATGTGTATGGCAGGCAAGTTCTGGAGGGGCCTATCAGGGATCGCAAAGCAGGAGGGACCTCAGGAGAAGGCAGCAGCTGGACATGAGTTCCATGAGTCGGGACAAGCTTAGAAAATCAGGTGGTGGTGGGGCAGGCCTGGCCGAAAAGATTCATTCAGAAGGTACTGGTGCAGTGCCTCCAGACTGAGGGAAGATGGCAGTTGCGCGAGGACCTGGCCCTACGCGCCCGAGGCCATCCTCCCAACACTGCGCCCCCTGTGGGCTGGTTCTCAACCTTGGAATCCACCCCTACGTAGCCAAGTTTTGATTCACATTTCTTAGGTTGTTTTATTTCAGATTAAACCTATGCTATGGATGGAAGGAAAGTGTTACTCTTCCAATTTAAGGAAGAGGATTTTTACAGACATGATTGAGCCCTTTGGCAAACAAGGAGTTTTATGTGTTATCTCGTATATCCTGAGTCATGCACTGATTTATTGTGTGACTATAAAAAAGCCATTTACTCTTTCTGTACTTAAGTTTTTAAAGCGTGGAACGGATCATCTCTGCCTGGAGAATAAATTTGTAACGTAAACTGAGGCACGCTGTTTGAAGAGCCTTTAAAAGTTAAGACAGTTCCTCTTTGGTCCTTTGAAGTCTTTTATGTGATTTGCAGATATATTCCCTCCAGTCTGTAGCTTGTCTTTTTATTCTCTTAATAGTGCTTTTCACAGAGTAAAGTTTTAACTTTTGATGAAGTTCAATGTATCATTCTTTTTTTTATGGTTATGTTATTGGTCTCATGTATATAAGAACTCTTTATCTAACTCCAGCTTATGAAATTTTTCTCCTGTGTTTTCTTCCATAAGTTTTATGGTTTTGTTTTTGCATTTACATCTAGGACCCATTTTGAGTTAATTTTTGCATGAGGTATGAAGTTTATGTCAAGGTTCATATTTTTTTTCTATTTGGATATCCAATTGTTCAGATATCATTTATTGAAATGATAATAATTTTCATTATTATCTTTCTCCATTGTTAGGGCCTTCAAACCTTTGTCAAAAATCAATAGGCCATATTTGTGAGGGTTTATTTCTAGATTGTGTATTTTATTCCACATTGTATTATTGGTTATTGTAGATTTATAATAAAATTAAGCAGTGTGATGACTACAAAAGAAAAAAAATAGTTCATGCAGAGGGTAGAATTATCTGCTGTGATAAAGAGAGTAGGCTAGTTAAAAAACTGTATACTGGGTCAGCCAAGTGGCTCAGTTGGTTAAGAGCACGAGTTCTGAGCAACAGGGTCACTGGTTCAATTCCCACATGGGCCAGTGAGCTGCACCCGAGCTGAGATGCCGCTGAGCTGCCAACAGGTGGCAGGATGGTTCAGCTGGTGAGATCACTTGCTCCTAACAAGGTTGCTGGTTCGACTCCCACATGGGATGGTAGGCTACGCCCACCCACAACTAAGATTGAACACAGCGCCTTGAGCTGAGCTGCCGACAGGCGGCCAGATGGCTCAGTGGTTAGAGCGTGTGCTCTTAGCAACAAGGTTTCCAGTTCGACTCCTGCATGGGGATGGTGGACTGTGCCCACCTGCAACTAAGATTGAACATGGCACCTTGAGCTGAGCGGCCACGAGCTGCCATTGGGCAGCCAGATGCTACTGGACTGGAAGCTGCGCCCTCCACAACCAAGTTTGAAGGACAACAACTTGGCTGTTTTTCTTCCTGAATTTCCCTGAAAAATCTTTAAAAAGAAAAAGAAAGCTGTATACTATGTGGGGCTTTAGGATTTCGAAGCTGCCTTTTGTCGGTGGTATCTGTGCAAACTTACCAAACCAGTGTATGTTTATCCATCTAATATTTGCTCACTCCAAATATTTTTAAACGCTGTGTCCTTGCTTATTTATTAAGTTTATCATTTTAGCTATTGTCAGGTTGAATAAAATAAGAATCAAAGAAAACAGAGCACAGGAAAGGCACCTCTTCTTTATTTTTTATTTTTTTAAAGATTTTATTGGGGAATTGGGTCAGGGGAACAGATAAGTTGCTGTTCTTTTGTTCTTCAGTCTAGTTGTGGAGGACGTCGCTTCACTGGCCCATGTTGGTATTATCATTGCGCTCTTCCCGGGTGAGGCAGATGGGTCACTGGTCACTGGATGGCCGCTCACGGTAGCTTACAGGAGCCCACTGCAGCTCCACTGCAGCCTCTGCCATCGCCGGTGACTCATGGCAGCACAGCTCCAGCTCGAGCTGTTGTTCACCATCTTAGCTGTAGAAGGCACAGCGTCACTGGCCCTCATGTGGGATCCGCACCGGGGCCCTGCTTCTCAGAGCTGGCGTTCCAGGCCAACTCTTAACCAATGCGCCACTTGGCCAGCCCAGGGCACCTCTTCTTTAAATGGCAGGCACTACCGGGTGATGGTTTTGTTTTGTTTTAAAGATTTTTATTGGGGAATTAGGGGGAGGGGAACAGCGTTGGGGAATCGGGGAAGGGGAACAGACAAGTAGACAAATTGCTGTTTTTGTTCTTCAGTCTAGTTGTGGAGGACATCACTTCACTGACCCATGTTGGTATGATCATTGTGCTCTTCCCGGGTGAGGCAATCGGTCACCGGTCATTGGTCGGCCGCTCATAGCGGCTCTCAGCAGCTCACACCGCTCCTGGCTGCTCATGCTGGCTGCCAGCCACTCACATAGCTCAAGGCAGCATGCTGCAGCCCTGCTGTTGCCTACACCGTCGCTGGCAACTTACAGCAGGCCAGCTCCAGGTCGAGCTGTTGTTCATCTTAGCTGTAGAGGGCAAGCGTCACTGGCCCTCAATGTGGGATCCAAACCGGGGCCCTGCTGCTCAGGGCTGGCGCTCCCAAGCGAGCTCTTAAACAGCTGAGCACTTGGCCGGCCCTACTGGGTGATGTTTTACATATTGTATTTAATTTAATCCTGAAAATAACACTGAGGTAAATGTACTTCCCCTCTTATTCAAAGGAGGCAACAGACTCAGAGCGGCAAGGAATATCACAGAGCCCGCTGCACTGCTGCTCTCCCTCTCAAAATTGCTGCTCTCACTACCAACTGAAAAATGGATAGGGAAAGCCTAGGAAGACACAATTAATAGCATTTGATGATTTGACCTAACTGTATTCCTGTATTCATTTATTAATTCCACAGATAATTACTGAGTGCTATTATATACCAGGTATTATGTTGGATTCTAGTGAAGAGGAGAGACCAAGACAAACAATCCTTACCCTCGTGGAGTTTATATTCTCGTGGGAATTAGATTTTTAGATTGATTTGTATTTTGCTTTATCTGTTTAGTGCAAGTGTCCTGTTATACACACACACACACACACACACACACACATATAGACATGAATTTATATAACTTTGCATTTGTTTCTCAGAAGGGAGAGAAATGAAAATTTTTTTTTTGTAGATTAACAAGTTTGGGGAACGTCTTTATACTTCATCCTATACCTAGGATTTCATAGAAATTGTGTACAGTAAAACTCCTTTGTGAATTGCATTTACATTCTGCAAAAAAAGATTTTTTGTTTTTCAGTGTTTCATAATGGAAATTTTCTAATTTATTCAAAAGTGGAGAGCATACCAAACAAGTCAGCTTCAGTTCATGACCAATATTGTAAGGAAGAATTGGGTCCAAGACTAATATTGAACTTACAGATTAATCCCTTTTACATGAAGTTTTGTGTATAACTATTCTTTTTCAAAGAGGTAACTTATCTATAATTTATTAGTATTTATTCAAATAATAAGGTGGTCATCTAATAATACAAGCTGTTGTATTGAGTCTACTTTATTAATGTCTCAGAATGGAAGCTTCTTAAGACTCTGAGGCATTTGTCTCCATGTTGTAGTCTTGTCTGGTAAGCAGGTACATTTACGTAAACAACATTTAGAGAAGGGCATTTGTTCAAAATTATCTGTTTCTGCCAGGTACGTTTTGGCCCTCCATCATGTTCTACAGAAAAGAACAAAACCAATGGTATAGTGCACTTGTTTTGCAATTCTCTCTTTGAGTTGCCATTGGTTGCGTGATTAAATTCATGAAGGCAGAGCCAATGATTTTATGATTGCATACTGATTTGGATTTATTTCTCTTGTGCAGAAGAAAATGTACAAATTACAATGGAAACTCTCCTAAAATCTGAAGAAGTACAAGGTATGAAGGTCAATGGGTCTAAGACAGATAATAATGAAGGACATGAGAATGGCAATGTGAGTGAAGGTCTCTCGGCCGGGTGCAGCGAACACCCAGAAGTAGACAAAATCATGACCAGTGGTGAGGTTTCAGAGACCAGCATATTAGTTTCCCTAGCGCCTTTAAACTTTGTGGACCCTGGGTTAACAGAAACAACTCCTAAAGGAAAAGAATGTGAAGAATTAAAAACTTGTCCTTCTTGGTTGTCATTACCAGGAAAAAGTGCCATTTCCAAAGTGGACAATGGGAAGGAAGAGTTGTGTAAGTTAAGCCTTGTCTGTGAAGCAGATGACAATCACCAACAGATTCTTGGCCACCATAATGAAAAACACAGTTCTGCACACGGCAGTCCCAAACTCTCGAGACATGTAGTTGTTGTAGAACCCTTAGAAGAAAATTCAGAAATTTCATGTTTCACATCAAGTTCATCTGGTCCAGAATCCAGAACATCATCCTTAGAAAAATGTGGTTTTGAAGGTGATGGCTTGCTGAAGAGATCTGCTGAAAAGACAGACAATTCCTGTTTTGATGGGGACGATCAAAACAAGAACTTGTCTTCTAGAGAAGAAAATGAAGAACAGTTTTTGAACCCCAGGAGTGAAAGTGAGGAACTGTTTCTTGTTAATGCCAGACAACCAGAAGAGGATGCTAGTGGTCATTGTTCTGGAGAAAAACAGACTGTCGCCTCCCCAAAAGAAAATATCCACGGTAACTATTGCATTCAAGGCAGTACCCATACAGACAGCTCTACTTCTTTAATGCCCAATTCTTTTACTGAAGCCACGGAAGCAGTGTTAAAAAAAAAAGATTTGAAAGTCACTTTAGACATTGAAGTTAGCTTAACAAGCCATGAGGACCATAGAGAAACTTTTACTAATATGAGCCATCCAGGCAAACAATCTGAAGAGAACAGTTTTTCCTCCTTGATGCAGATCGAAGATCCAGAACAGACAACCACTATCAAACCCAGTATATTAAGTGAAAAGATTTACAGTAAAGACTCCTTAGTCAGCACCCAGAGAAATCTGGAAGGCAACACCCAGTTAAATGAAGCATCATATAATGAATTTATGATTGAAAAAAAATCCCTTGTGAGTTTAATGCCTGAGGACCAGAAAAATCCTGTAAATGAGGGATCAAAATCCAAGAAAGATACTGCTCAGTTATCATCATCCCTAAAATTTGGTTACAGACCTGAGTCAGAAAAAGCTGTACAGACCTCACAGGACAATATTCCACATTTAGATGAACAGAGCATCGCCTGTGAGATGTATGAAGCTCCTTGTACTGAAGAATTGGTTGTAAACAAAATAGAAAGTGAATGTGTTTTAAATCAAGTGTCCCTTAATTCTCAAGATCATGCGAAGTTGCCAACTGACAAAGAGATGCCTTTAACAACAAGCGAGGATTCCCAACAGAGCCATCACCCTCCATTAGAGGACAAAGCAGATGTCATTGCTGATACCCAAACCATTCTCATGAAGACAAAAATGAAAGACATCTCTCCACCAGGTGACAAAAGCTGTGGTGCCTCTTCAAACAATCCCACCTTAAACATTAAACCAGGGAGCCTAGAAAGTAAAAACAAAATGGCTGATTCAGGAACAGAAGATCTACATTTCAGACTTCTCTCAAGTAAGGAAGAAGCAGAGGTCTCTGTCATGGAATGTCAAAGTGTTCAATCTCAGGATCTCTCTAGCTGCCATTGTAGAAGAAAAAATGCACAAGAAGAGAGCATGTGTTCTGCTTGTGCTGTTTTTGAGTCTAGCAGAATCATCCCGGAAGTTGAAAACTCTTTGATAACCAAGTATGAGAATGCATTTCAGCACAGTGATCTCCACTCTCCAGGAAGAGAAGACTCCATGGAACGTAGTACCCATAAAGCGAGTTATACATCAGAGGAAAATGAACTTGATGGGAGGGAAACTAAAGACAGCCTTCCGGGCAATAAGGTCAGAAACGAAAGGACAGAAGCTCCAAATGAAACCATTCACACCACCAATCCCATCCAACCCATTAAGGAAGGGCTAGAATTAAAGGAACAGGATATACCCAAAGAGACTGTATTTTGTAAATATAACATCTGCAATTGTGCCACACAGGAACTAAACCAATCTGTAAACATTCCAAATCCTGAGAAACTGTTGGACCAGCCTCCTACTGTTATGTTCTCCAGTTTTAAAAACATGACCCCAGCAGTTGAAACTCCTGATCAGAAGACAGATGAAGTCCTTGACTGCCAGTGTAACCCATACAGACCAGCTGAATGCAGACGTGAAGATAAACCAACTAAGGAGGCACTAGGTAGTGACCAGAGAGAGATGGTTACAGAGCCTGTCAGAGAGGTAAGCCACAACCAAAAGGATCTGCCAGTTGGTTCAGGCAATAACTCACCGTCTGGTGGTAGTCCAAAGGAAGGTGATTTGAAAGGAGCCTTTGAAAGGATTTCTGGTTGTAGGAAGTCCACAGACGGTACTGAAGACATTGTCTACACAGACTGTAGTAATAAGCCTACAGAAGGCATGCTGGACATAAGAGCATCTAACACACATGATGGTAGTGCACAGCAAGATGGACTAGCATTACATGGTACCTCAAGGAATACCCTGTTTCAGAGAGGAGAACGGAACGCTACATTTATGATTGACTGGGATTTAGATTTCTCAGATGCTCCTTCCTCTACAGCGGAATCTTTTGAAATAAAAAAATCATTAAAATCATGTGAAGAGAGAGTCTGCAGATCGTTAAAAGATTGTGAAATGGAGGTGTGTCCAGACTCTTGTGCCAATGAGATAGAGTCTGTTGCAGATCATGAACCATTAAGTATAAGACTGTTGGATAGAGTAAATGTGTCTTTAAATTATATTCATCATGAACAGCAAGTTAAAGAAGCATCTCTGAGAGAAACACAAGGAGTAATTGAAAGATCAAGACTAGAAATAAATTCTGAGTTTGAGAAGGAAAATACCCTTGGAATTCCTTCAAAAGAGTTGATATCTTCTGGACACCAAGGTGAGAACTCTGTTCCCCCAGGGAGCCCGAAATCCATCGAGAGAATGCCTTCATATCTGTCTTCTCAAAAAATTTCAGAAGCAAATATTAAGAGTGAAGAAACCAACCTGAAAAATCTTTGTATGCCAAAAGACGGTGAAATGCTTTGTGAAAATGTAAAGGACTGCACAGTCCCGCCTGAGATGAAGGAAGAAGCACCAAGGGATATGAGTAACCCTAGTGAAGGAAACAGCATAGATATCTGTGTGAAAACTTTGCCATTGACGATGGAAACAGAAACTAAAGTGACAGAAGAAGCTGAAGAACATCGGAGGGGATCACCATGTCACATCACTGTTGGAGAGAAATCTGAGGAGGCGATTACCAGTGAAGATGGTTGCAGTGGTAATATGAGTAAGATTTCTCAGATCCACTTTAAATCCCAGGGGATGCTTGGTGATGCTGAAGAACAGCAAAGCCAGAGGGTTTTGAACTACACGTTGCAGAAGGAAGAGGAATATAAACATCAAAAAGAAGCACATAGGATATTGGAACAATGCACATCATCTAATATGTTGTCAGATAAGGTGCAAAATAAGAACCAACCTAAGGGATGCAAAGATGAGTCCACCATGATGAAAGGAATCACCCCAGCAAAGCTTGCCAGGGGTGACATTGCTGCACAGTTTCAGAAGTTGAAAGACCCAGAGGAGGAAAACATCTGTCACCCATTAAAAAAGGACACCGAGTTGTGTATAGGTCCTTGCCTTCATGGTGCCCCCCAAAACAAAGCACAAGACCACAGCCCTGCTAGGTGTGATGAAATACACAGTGCCTCTGGGAAGACGTCACATCAGAAAGGAGTGCTTACCTTAAAGAAGCAGCCCCATCGAACATGTAAGAAAGTTTCCTGTCAGGAGCAAGCCAACATAGGGAGAAAATTAAGTAAAATCAGAAATTCTGCCTTTTTAAAGCATTCCACAGAAACCATCCCCACAAAAGCACACAGATTTTTCAGTTCACATGCTATGTCTGCACCCACCAGACTGGACCCCAAAACAGTACCTGCCAGGACCTTAGTTAGCCACATACCAAAGCAGAAGGCTACTCCGTGCCATCTCCTTAGGAGCCTGAATGTCAGGAAGCCTACCAAAGAATCGGCCTTACTCACCAAGCTGTCCATCCTTGCCTCCAAACTGGCTCCAGCTGCAAAGACCCAGAAACTGAGATACCGGCGGTGTTCCTCTGAACTTCTTCCAGTGGCTAAAAGCTACAAGCGGCTCAGATATAAAAGGCTCCTGGATGGATTTTCACACAATACAATGCAGCTGAGTCCATATGTGACAGCAACTGGATGGAATAAAAGGCCTACTAGTAAACCCTTGACACTTTATCCGCTGGAAGCCATCAAACTGAGCTTCATAGATTTGAGCAACAAGATGCCGTCCCTGCTGTTCGGTTCCGAAATCTTCCCTGTATCCTTTCATGTGAAATCAGGCTCTGAGTGCACTTCAGAGTCCCCAAGGAGTTTTCCTGAGCACTGTGCTCCAGCAAGGCTTGCCTTAGGAGAGGCCGCCCGGTACCCTTCTCAGCCTCCCAAGTGGACCTTTTCTTTTTTCTTGTCCCACGGTTGCCCTGGGATGGCCACATTCAGGGAAGACACTGGCCTCCATGGTCAGGCACATGCCCAGGCTCCTCCCCACCCTCCAGCTCCTCTCCAGGACTGTGGGGGTACCGCCATCGTCCAGACCAGAGCAGGCTGCTCTGTCCTTGGCCTTCACACACTGCTAGCACTTTGTTCCCCTGGATGTTACCGAATCTGGACAAAAAAACGGAGCTTCTCCAGCCACATGCCTACCATGCAGAGGCTCTTCATGACCCAGTTTACACAGGGCTTGAAAGGGTTAAGGTCTCCAGCCTCCATAGCTGACAAGGTCTTCTGTTCTCTGCCGTACTCGGTGGGCCGAGTGCTTTCCATTTGGAGCCAGCATGGACCTTCTGCCTGCTCCTTCGAAATCTCTGCTCTTCATTCCACTCACAGCAAGAGGCCGCTGACGCTGGGCACCACAAGCAGGTAAACTCTTCTTTGTGAATGTTCCCCATGATTGCTTCCTGCCAGTGAGGAGAGGAGAGGGGCTCTACTGGAAACGTAGGGCTATTCAGAGTCTCTGTCAGCATTTTCTGCTTATAACTTTGCAAAATCTGAAATCTCTGCTGAGAAAACCAGCAGTAATTCTTAAGTGGAGATCCCTCTAATTTCCCTACAGAAGCTGGACTTTCTGCAGAACCCTTTATTTTGCACTATTCTTTGTTCTGTCCATGTATTCTGCAAACCGTCAGATCTTGTGAATCTTCTTTTCTCCTCATGTCCCCACCTTGCAAAGAACAAACACCATTACAAGTTAAAGACTTGTAGTGACAGATAATGTCTTGTAACTATAACTTGTTCACAACGTATTATACAGCCAGCACCTAACTCAGTATTTGGTGTATAAAGGATACAGAAGAAATACGTTTTCAATAAGTTAATTAGTTATATAGGCATAACCAAATCTAGTTTATGAACCTCTGCATTTTTTTTCCCTTTTCTTTTTCAATTACAACTGACATTCACTATTATATTAGTTTCAGGTGTACCTGAACCTCTGCATTTCTTCTGGAGCAGAGAGGCTTCAAAGATTGGCATTTGCGTACGATAGTTGTAAAATGTATAGAATTTTAAGTGAACTGGAAAAGAGTTCTTGTGGTTCAACCACTGAGAATAGTTAAAAATAATTTCACCAGTATCATTTTACCTTCTTATTGAAAAATAAGAGAATAAAAAGAATTTTGAGAGTTACATCCTGAAAGATCTGCTTTAGACATAGATAAATTCCCCTGTTTGTAATCCCTTGGGTAAACAGAAAGTAAACATTTTTTAGTTTGCCTTTATCATTGCTATGGTTTAAAAATTCAACAACCAACACTGCTTAAAGTTCCAAATAGCCTGGGAGCTCTGCGTATGTGGGTGGTCTCTTATGCAGGCTGATTCTGTGTCCTTAGAAAGCTGCTGGTGCGTATTGTGAAGTCGTCCAGTCCACCCCCTGCCCCCGCTTCTTAGCAGAAAACTACAAAAGGGGTTTCAGAGAAATACCCTAAAACATGAATGTGGCTGATTGAAGTGGAGAGCTGAATTACTATATATAAGTACTTGTCTTATGGTTATAGAAAAATATTAACTAATATAAAAATACATTAGAAGGAATCAAATTGTTTTAAATGATGGTGTACTGCTTTTATTGTCTAATTTCTTGGTATGCCTCTGCAGTCTCATAATTGCTCTCTACCCTGTGAAACACAGCTTTAAATCGTGTTACTTTAAGCTAAGTTCATCCCTGAGGTGAGTGTAGAGGGAGGGTAGTTACAATTTTACCCTAGGAAGGTGTGTGACCCTTGGGTGCTTTTTCCTCTTCCAGAGCTCCTTCCCACCTAACTTTTCTGTTTCCTGGTGTGGAATGTTTTCTCTCTCCCTTACTTCCTATACCTGGGATTTTATTTATTTATTTTAACTTGAGCTTTTTGAATTAAATTTATTTTTGCTATATTTATTTTTTAATTCAAGTGGAAAGTGGAGGGGTGGTGTTTGTATGGGACTTTTCCCTCTCATTGGCTCTCAAAGTGCCTTAACATAATATGCTTTGGCTTTGAGTCCAGAGGTTTTCTATTTTCCTAAAGACGCTTAGAAATATTAAGCATGATAAGTTAGGGAGCCCCAGAAAGCAAGGCTTAACAAAGATTAAATTATGTTTCCATAGGGTTTTCTTATCTGAACTGTATTCTCCAGCACTCTGTAATATAGGTTGAACAGGCATCTTTTTTGCCTTTTTTATAGATTATGAGTCTGAGGCACATGGTTTTTTTCTAACCCAGATCACTTAGCTGGTTAGTGTTTCAGCTGAACTGACCTAGAACCGAGGTCTCCCGATTTCTGATTTGGTCAGCTCCTTGTCCAGTGTTCCACCCTGCCTGCATGGATAGAACATGGCATGATACTGAGCTCTTTCTTGTTCTCATAAATCTAATCTACGTTTCTCGTATGAACAATCTGAGATTTAATCTCAGATTGAATCTTAGATTCAAATGTGTTTTATTACAAGTAGCAACTAGGGATGTGTAATCAATACCAAATATGGGGAAGAAGGCCAAAATTACTTAACCAGCTCATTGTACCGTAAGTTCCCTCTCAAGCAATTTCTTGGTCATTTAGCCAGCTTCAGTACCTGGATGGGATTGGTTTCATTTGTTTAGTTCACTAAATGTCTTCCGTGCCTCCCAAAATCTGTTTCTTTTTACATTTTTCATTGTTCCATACCAGTGCAATGGATTAAACACATTCTTGTCAATTTTTGCATATGCAGACACAGGCTGTGTCCAGAAGTGACTAGAGAACAGGTTGACTAGAAATGTTATTGCTGGTAAAAGGCTTCAATCCTAGTCTGAATGTTAAGAAGTTGCATGTGCTGAGGTCGAAAGAAAACCTGCTATATTTTTTTCTCTGCTTTTCTCTCCGTGTTGCTAGGCTCGAACCTCCATTCCCTGCCTTGGTACCAAAGTCTTGCTTGGTAACAGACTCAGCTGTCAGCAAGCTCCTGCTTTCAGCCTCTGAATTTCCAGTTCCTGGGTTTAATGAACTGGATGGTGTAACAGCAGCGTGCCCCCATCCACAGAGTAGCCCTCCAGAACAGAAAGAGGTAAGCTGAAAATGCTGGTAGGATCAAGTGGTGGTAGCACTGGAGAGGCCCACTGATGACTACAGATCACGTGATGGACACAGACAGGCCCCTCAGTGTCTTCACTTACCACCTTTAGCTTTTGCTGAGTGCTGGAGATGACCAAGACAGGAGGTTTTATGTTTGGCCACTAAAGAATACCCTGGATCTCCTCCACTATACTGTTTTCCAGAGCCTTTTATTCTTGACGACAGCACTTAACAGTGTTTAGAGAATTAAACCACAGAGCAGCTTCATGCATTCAAAGAGGATGAGTGAACAATATTGTTTTTTCAAATCTGCTCTCCCCCATGGTTGCAAACTTTCATATTGATAACTCAATAACTGAATTGAATGTAAAATTCTCTTGATAATATAAAGGGGGTTAGTTAAACGCTGTTGGCAGGAGGCGAAGCTTTGTCGTAAACTACTTATTACAGTCATCTGTAAACTGAGGAAGTGATATCATGAGTGTCAAGAAAAGGGGCTTTATATATTTAAAACGTCTTGCAACTTGACCATTTCTTTTTAATCCTTAAAAATAGGCTGAGCCAGAGAAGAGGCCAAAGAAAGTCTCACAGATTCGCATCCGGAAAACCATTCCTAAGCCAGACCCTAATCTTACCCCCATGGGCCTTCCTCGACCCAAAAGGTGAGCTCTTTCTCTAATACACATAGCTTCACTGTTTTTGAAAATGGTTTGGCAGAACAAAATTACCTTTTAAATGATCATCTATTCTGAGCTATTTGTTATACCTCTCTTTATCCAAAAGAATTCATTGGCAACATGGCCAGAGATTTATATGCAGGTATATGTTAATGCATTCTTAATCCTTTTCATTGAGGTGTTGTGCTGTCGCTTTGCGTGTACAGAATCTCAGTTCACCCTCTAATGATGCTGGGAGGTAAGCACTGTTGTCCTCAGGTTTAGTGAGGGTGCTGAGGCTCAGTGATTAAGAAGCCTGTTGGGCTATGGTGTCAATCATGACATAGGTGGTTTCTGTCTCACACAGGTTTACACAACCCCACATCCTGAGTACACAACATTCTGTGCACAAAACTGGGAAGGAACATAAAGGTCATGAGGGAAAGAAGTTTAGTTTTCTTTAGAAAATGCCAGGTCCATGTTATGGTCTATATTATAGCCTTTAAATTTTTGGTTTCTAAAGATTGATTTTTTTTTTTTAAGATTTTTATTAGGGAATTGGGGGGGATGGGAACAGTGCTGGGGAATTGGGGGAAGGGGAACAGACAAGTTGCTGTCGTTTTGTTCTTCAGTCTAGTTGAGGACGTTGCTTCACTGGCCCAAGTTGGCACCATCATTGCGCTCTTCCCGGGCGAGGCAGATCAGTCGCCGGCTTCTGGACGGCCGCTCACTGTGGCTGCTGGCCGCTCACGCTGGCTGCTGGCTACACACGGTAGCCCATGGCAACCCACTGCCACAGGGGCTGCAGCCTACGCCGTTGCTGGCGACTCACGGCAGCCCAGCTCCAGGTCGAGCTGTTGTTCAGCATCTTAGCTGTGGAGGGCAGTGTCACTGGCCCTCATATGTGGGATCTAAACTGGGGCCCTCTGGCGTCCCTAGCCAGTTCTTAACCATCGCGCCACTCGGCCAGCCCTAAAGATTGATTTTTTATGACAGAGATAATTGCTAACACTATAGAGTGAAGTGGGAAGAAAAGACAGATTACCAAATTATGTATTAGGCCTGATTCTGGTTTTGGAATTATATATATTACACAGACACACTATGAAAATTTATACATTTTTAAAAGATCTTAAAAAATAAAAATAAAGAAAGATCCCCAGAATTGTATTTTCATGTGGTTGCTTTCACTCCTTCATTTTTCATTAGAAGCCTAACAGTGGTTAGGCTTAAGGAACCCAAGGTAAGCTACTTAACCTTTCTGAGCTTCCAGAACTTACCTGTAAAATGTGAATAAGAATTTTCATTGCCCAAGATTGCTTTACAATCTAATTGAGAAAAAATTGTGTACTGTATTTATTATATTGCTTCACATAACACAAATGCAATAAATAGTTAACTGTTAACTGTGCTCATGATTGACATCCCACTTTTCCCATGTGGTTTTTATCTCTATTGTATTTTTATCTTACAGTTATTTTATTGATCATCCTACCATGTCTTTTCAAGAGATTGTTTTTATTTTTATTCGTATTTATTCATTTTTTAAAAAGATTTTATTGGGGAATCAGAAGGGGAACAGACAAGTTGCTGTCCTTTTGTTCTTCAGTCCAGTTGTGGAGGACGTCGCTTCACTGGCCCATTTGGTATTATCATTGCGCTCTTCCCAGGTGAGGCAGATGGGTCGCCGGCCACTGGACGGCCGCTCACGGTGGCTCTTGGTAGCTCATGCTGGCTGCCGGCTGCTCACGCCGGCTGCCAGCCACTCACGGTAGCTTATGGCAGCCCACTGCAGCCTATGCCGTCGCCGGCGACTCAGGGCAGCCCAGCTCCAGGTCGAGCTGTTGTTCACCATCTTAGCTGTAGAGGGCAGTGTCACTGGCCCTAATATGGGATCCAAACCAGGGCCCTGCTGCGCAGAGCTGGCATCCCAAGCCAACTCTTAACCAACACGCCACTCGGCCAGCCAGCCCTGTTTTTATTTTTAAAACCCAGTTATCACTGTTTACTTGACAATGGTTGGTTTAGCCTACACGTTAAGGCAAACAATGCATTTGCTTTTTTTCAAGGGCTATTTTTTAAATATTTCAGATATCCTGGTTGAATAGTACTTATTTGTAGGATGAAATAGGATTCAGAATTGGATATATTCTATCTCACATTGATATGAAGATAGAAGTTCTGAAAAACACTGTTTATATAAATAAGTAATTGGGAGTGAATTTTAATATAGAAATGACTTTCAATTCTTTGTCGACTTCTTTCAAATAATACGCAAAAAAAATCAGTGATTTATCATCAAATTATATTTAATAATTTATCGCCTAATTTTTTTGAAAGCAAAGGATCAAAAGGCAGTGGTTAGTAGGTTCTGTTGCCCAGACATTAAAGGCAATCAGTGTCTCAGTGTTTGGAAAACACATACAGCTTAATGGCAAAGGCAGTTGTAATTATTCAAGTCCATCAGTCATTCATTCTTAACTTTTCTGTTTTCCATCTCAAGTAAATGTGTTAATTTTTACCTATAAGAATATTATGTAAATCATTGAGAAATAAGTTATGAAACATGTAAGGTAGATTGGTAAAAGCTACAAGTCAGTTAAAATCATATATAAGAAATATAAGTAATTTATCCATTTTAATCATGCATTATTAAAATACGATAATGCTCTTTCTCGTTACTGAATTTATAATAAAGCAATGTAATGTGTAGCTAAAATAATAAATTATGAAGTGAAGAGTATGGTAGAAAGCATGATACTGCTTCAGAAAATATATGCATACATGAATGAAACTCTGTTGTTAGACTTCCAGGAACAATTAAGAATCATGTAAAAACAATCAGAAATAAATCCATTAATTTATATACCGTATTTGCCGGCGTATAAGACGACCCCCTAACATTTCCACTCAAAATACAGAGTTTGTTATATACTCGCCGTATAAGACTACCC